TGGAATTGCAGCATTAAGAATACTTAATGAAAGTGCTCGAGTCATTCCCTACTTAAATGTTTGCTTTCTTATAACAAGTCAGTGAGTGAGAGGCTTGGCAGTATTTACTGTATCAATAAAAGATGCATTAAAATATTGCATGTGCTTGTTTACTATCAAATGAATGTTCTCCTCTGAAATATTAGGACTAAGCTCTCATGAAAATATTAGATAAAATGTAAAAAGAAGAAATGGAAACTAAATTACAGGATGTGCCCTTGCTTAGCTCTGCTTAGATGGTTCTTATGTTGGTATCCCTTCCGTGATTTTGGGAAAGAAAAAAATATTCTCTATTTTTGATGGTGGAACTGAGAGGTGAAGAACACATAACAACATGACGCATTTCAGATCCCACTTGGGTTTCTTTGGCTGCCCAGGTGGCCTTTCCTCCCAAATCTATTAAGATAGCACTGTTAGAGGATGTTAGTGCTGTTCTGTGTATAATGGAGTTTTTTCACTGGCATATTGCTGTCTCCTGTGGGCGTTCTTTCTATTAAAAGTAGTATCAATTATGTTTTTAAGGTTGGATATATCCTTGTTATAAACATTAACTCCTTGTGCTGTTAGTAGATACTTTTTAAATTGCTGCCATGCGATAGTCTCTTCCATTACTGGTTTTGTTTGCACTTGCCATAGCCAGTCCTCAATAACTGCCAACTTTGACTTTAAATTATTTGAGTCTCACATAGGCTGCCTCTGTGACTCATCTGAAGCTTGTCTTGAGACAAACAATTTATAAAAAATTCTGTGTGTATATGACTGTAAATATGCTTATCCTTAGAAAACAGGTTTGCAATGCCCCTTGGTTTGTAGGGTGGTGGTTTGTTTGTTCTTTTGTTGTGGGGGTGTGGGCTGTCCATGGGGGAAAGCTTAGGCAATTTGTTTATTTTGGAAAGGTAGTAGTTCTGGATGGGAATAAAAGGGAGAAGGGTCCATCTTGATTGTGTCAGATATTCTGGGAACGTATTAATAAGGGAAGACTTAAGAGTAATAAAATTTTCATCGATAGTTGAAAAGCAAGCAAGCTGACTGTGCTTATTATTAATCTTTGGTAGCAAAGTCTGAAAGACCAACTATCATAGTTTTAGGAGGACAGGAATGAAATGCTGTTTTTCAGGCTTCAGCAGAGCAGATTCTTTTCAGCCTATTCATCAAATTCTCTAATCATCTGCTTTCCAGATGGCTCTTGTCTGATTTAAGCCCTCTGAAAGATCCTTTTCTCCAAGTGCCTTCTGTCTTTTTCACCATATTATCACTAGTATTTCTATCATGTCCCTATGTGGAGGATTGGACAGAGATAACTCAAGGGACAGCTGAATTTCTGGAGGTTCTTGAGTGAATTTTGCATTCTTTCCTGCCATTTGATGAATGCCAGTCCTAAGGATGCAGAAAAATCTGAGTCAAATGAGAGTTAATGAGAGCTCAGAAGTAATGTAACTTCTGCAGATTGCAACTGTGTGGTCACTTCTGGAGATGTCAGTGAAGTTTCTCTGTGTTTTAGTTACCTTCAGTAACAGTGGGACCCGAGAAATGTGTGACTTAAAGTAATATGCTTGACTTTGCAGGTGAAGATATGTTGGCTTCTTGTGATTATATGATTGATCTTTTTTTCTCCCTTCTAGTGTACATAGTATATTTTAATGCTGTTGTTTGAAATGACACATCATGTGAGTTGATTAGGAATGGAAAATTTGAAAAGTCGGATTCCACTGGATCATGTTTAGGTCAAAAGTAGTGCTCTCACTCTGCTCTCAAACAGACTCAGTAACTGAAGTCTCAGCAGAATATAAGAAAGCAAGCAGGATTTTGAGGACTGGGTTGGGCAAAGTTAAAATTCTAGTTAATGTAGGGTTAGTCTGGGCCTGAATACACTTGAAAAAGAATGAGTAGACAGGTAGTCATTACTGATAGTTTACCTCACTTTTTGGAGTTGTTGGCATATGCCAGGTATCAGTGGACAGTGTTAGCTTTTGAATTATAGCACTGTAGAAGTTACACCCCAAAAATTAAAGCCAAGTAACTTTTTTCCTTATATGCTAAGTCTTTATGTGTCTGTGGCAGTTTTAGTTTGAAGTTTGTAGAATTTATCAGTTTTAATAAATGTTGGTTTTGCTTGCAGATGCAGGAGCATCTGTTGCTGATCGTGAGGCCAGTCTGGAGCTAATTAAGTTGGATATATCACGCACATTTCCATCCCTGTATATTTTCCAGAAGGTGAGGTTCCTGTAACTTTAGCTATGACAACTTTAAAATTCTGAATAGTTAAACAAGAAAAGAAACCTAACTGGCCAAATGTGGTATAGTGTTTAGAAGTTGTTGGGGTTTTTTGTTTGTTTTTTTTGAAAGAGAATAAAGTAGAGAAACTTAATGATGGACTGTAAGGGTTTTTTTTTTTTCTCCTGGATATATTGCATGATGTTCCTATTAACGATGGTAAAACTACAGGCAGAATTTGGAATATTCCCAATGCTACAGAAATCTTGATGCATTTTAGTACATTTTTCAGGTTTATGATTTTTATATAGATATAATATATAAAATGGCATGCAATATTGAAATACAGTAACTTGTGCTACTAAGAATTAAAATATCCGCTGTCTCTCAAAAGGAAAGACTGACCCTGGATACGTACCAGACATCCTCATTTTCCATTATGAAATCATTCAGTGGTAATCAGTACATAGGATTATTGGTCTGTTACTTTTAACATCTCAAAAGCATACATGGTAATGCTCAGAGTAAAAACTGGTATTATTCTAGATGTGGATAAGGCAACAATTCACTGGCTCGCTTTCATCTTAAAATACTGGCTTGTTACTTTCCTATATGTATGAAGTGATTTTGAAAAAAAAATAAAATTTTGTTTTCTCCCTGCGCCCTCTCCTTTTATTAGGGTGGTCCTTATCATGATCTCCTGCACAGTGTCTTAGGAGCATATACATGTTACAGACCAGATGTGGGATATGTAAGTATTTTTTGTAACATGCTTGTAACATGGCAAATAAGGTTAAGATGTCACATATTAGAGTGTATTAAATAAATAGGTTCTCTAAACTTTATGCTACTGGCACTTTAAAAATAATTAAACTTTGGCTTTTATTTCCTGGCGGTTACAATGATGGTAGTTCTTAGAGATAATTAAATAGCTGAAAATGTAGTGCATGTCAAGGATGTATATATTGTCTGGCTTGCATGAAAAACTTTAAATGGATATGTTCACAAGGCATTATTGTTCTGACAGACCTAAAGTATCTACAGAAAAAAACCAAAACATGCTAGTGGACTTCCAGATAGCATTTCACCTCTTCTGTCCTACTGTTGCTTCCACTGTTACCATTTCTAAAGTGATACTCTCGGCTTTACTTCTGCATGTCCTAAAATCCAGAAACTCCTTATTGGTGTCTTACTGACAAAGAATAGTCACTCCATCTGAGTTCAGTGAAGATAAGACTGTTTGCAGGAAACATTATGTGTTTAAAACAAGCAAAATATAAAAAACTGTCAAACTCTCCTGAACAAACCGACTAAACCTAACATCTCTCTCTCAATGGTGTCAGCTTACAGAAGCTTTTAAATAATTAACAGCAGCTTTTTTTTTCTGTCTTTGTTTCTGGGGGTATCTAGGAAAATCTTTTACAAGCTTTAATGCTTCCAAGCCCAAAAACACTTGAAAAGTTTTAAATCTCATCCGTGTAACAAAGCATTATTTAGCACAGGGTGTGTCTTCCTCTCTAAATCAGATATGCTTATGACTCTGCATAAATAACTAGTTGGTTTTTCATGTTCAAATGTTTTTAGGCCTGAATTCTGTCATCTGTGACCTCATTTTTGGAGACTCTCCCGTATTCTTTAAGTGAGATTATAAACTCTGCAGGTTCTGAGACTGCTTGTTCCCAGGGTGGAGTTTTAAAAGGCAAATGAGTAATTTTTCATGGATTAGCTTTCTCTTTTTCATTAGGAATACAGCTAGCCTGGATATCTCTCATCACATTTTTTTTTTATGGTAATACAGCAGTAAATTTAATGTAATCTTATTTCCACACCTATTTATCCCACAAAAATGGAAAGCTGCTGGATTGTTTCTGATGCATATCAATACTCTTTTCCCTAGTTGGTTAAAATGCTGAGTGTGTTTTTTTATTTTTTGAGAAGCAGCAGCATGAATGCTTAAAGATGGTGTAATAATGATCATTGCAATTAAAATTGGTAAAATTATTTTTAGTATAATGAGTATTCATTCATGATCATCACTTAAAAACTACAAGAATTGTGTTCTTCAGTTTTTATTGCAGGCTAAAGTGTTTGTGAGAGAGTAATCATGGAAAAATGTAAACTTGAATTGTAGCTAACCATTTAGAAGTAATTTTATGTATGTGAACAAATACTGTTTGGCAAGTGGAGAGATGTGTATTGGCTGTTCTGAAACAGAATTTTGACTCAATTTCAACATATGTCTGAGTCTAAACTGTCCCATATGTGAAGTTTTTCTCCATGACTGCTTTTCCCATATCTTAACAATGAAGTTGAGGCCAAGCTTTTTCTCTTATGAGCTCTGCATTCGGCCTGTGTGGTTTTAACTTTCTTGCATTTCAAGTCCTGAGGACTTGTGATCATGAGACCTCCCAGAACTTCCACTGGGCACCTAAAACCAGCATCTGAAGAAATGTTTTATTTCTTGCTGAAATCAAATTGATTCGCATGCATAAAAATTTATCTGTGTTGTTTTTATTCATCTGGAAATGTTATGCAATGGTGTTTGATGTATTGCAGACTGTAAATGTTTCCATTTCCAAAAATATAAGATGTACTGAACCTACTCACCTATGTTTGCCTGATGCTTTTCCCACTTGAAGGTACAAGGGATGTCCTTCATTGCTGCTGTGCTCATTCTCAATCTGGAAGAGGCAGATGCTTTCATTGCCTTTGCTAACCTTCTAAACAAGCCATGCCAGCTGGCCTTTTTCCGTGTGGATCACAGCATGGTATGCACAGAGTTTTCTGGTTTTGAACCATAACTTTTTTTGTCTTGAAGGATAGTTGATTTATTGATAACTTCCTTTTGTCCTATTGAAAAATGGAGAACTTAAACCTTGATTCTCTGCAAAATTGAGAATACCAGATACTAATCCATAAAACTCATTCTATTGTTTTGATTTTTTTTTTCCTCTAGAAACATTTAATAATTTTACTTATCCTAAGAAGTCACACTGTGCTATGTGACATCCTCAGTTCTTGGTGGGGTTTGTGTTAGTTTACAACTAAACATTATTTTGATGACTGCTTATGAGGTGCTTTACTATCTCTACAGATGCTGAAATACTTTGCAGCCTTTGAAGTATTTTTTGAAGAAAATCTTCCCAAATTGTTTCTTCATTTCAAATCATACAGTCTTACTCCAGACATATATTTGATAGACTGGTGAGTTCATAGAACATAGCGAACCTAATCTTAGAACTGTTGGAACACTTTCTATTTTTGCTATAGGTTTTTCAACACTAGAAATCAAGCATAAAAAAACCGGCATTTGGCAGGTGTTTATGTACCTCAGCTTTCTACGTCTTGTGAAATTGTGATGAACTGTTTTGTGCAACTACAGTTCCTCTGGCACGATTCAAACTTTATTAACCAGGATGTACTCAGTTAAAAAATGAGACACATGGGGTCTTGTGTATTCATTTTCTTGTTGCTGCAGTTATGTGTAACATAAGTAGGGGAGAGGAGGCTACTACACCATAGTAGTCTTATGATTGATTGTAAGTGACCTGATGGAATGAGCATAATCAGCTACTGAAGAAAGTATGACTATAGGAATAGAGATGTTAAAAGCAGAGGGAGGAGGAAATTTAGGACCTGATTTGGGAAGGGATAAACTTGAAAATACAGTGAACAATTTGAAATAACAAATGTTCTAAACCAGGGAGTACCAAACTACATTATGTGCCTGCAATGGAAGGCAGTAATGAATGCATCCTTGAAGTATGATAGAGCTGCCAAATACAGAATGTCTGTTCGTGTGTGTGTAAGGATAAGCTTCATATAGAAACTTCTAACCCATATAATAATTCTAATAGAGTGAATTGAACTGGGTGGAATTAAATAACATAAAAACATTGTCATCTGAACTTTGCCTGCCTATGAGATACAGCTTATCAGTAAGTCTCAGCATGAACCACTTCCCAATAGCAATAATGAGAAAACAGAGAACACTGTGCTTTGTATCAAAGAAACCACTACAAATTTGTGGGAGGAGTTCTACAATATGTTACATACAGCAGACTGAGCTCTCTGCCCATGTGTAATGAATGCCTTTTAAAAATAAGCTTTGCAAAAAAAATACAGTTGGACTCTTCTCAGTAAAAATAGAACAGCAACTGTCTTTAGATCTTCCGGACTTTTAATGTGAATAGAAATTAAAAAATGTATCATAGAAATATAGTTATTGAATTATCATTAGTAGATTAGTGAGATCATCTCCATTGAGATGATTTGTGGCTTTAGATTTAGTTTAGGAAACATGATGAACAAAGCTGTTAAACTGTATGGCTTAAATGGTAAAAGTTAAGTTATACATTTATCATCTTTGCTTAAGTTCTTACCTGTATATTGTACTCTGAGGATGAAGAGGTTTGTAACTTTAGCCAGAGCTTCCTAACAGAGAGGGTATTCAAATGGAGGATTTCCTGTGGCATAAGAAGAGATGGGTTTCAGAGTACAAGTTCTGACTTCAAAAACTGGAGACTTGTGGATTGCTGAAATATGGGAAAAATAAGAGTGTCATCTGCCTATTCTGAGCTAATGTAACTGAGATTTACAGGAAGCTGTATTTTCATTTTTCTAAAGTAAGTTACAGATGTAACTGTTTCTTTTTTTTTTTTACTTAATTGTAGGATTTTTACACTCTACAGCAAGTCATTGCCACTTGATCTGGCCTGTCGTGTCTGGGACGTTTTCTGCAGAGATGGAGAAGAATTTTTGTTTAGGACAGGATTAGGAATCCTTCGGTTATATGAAGATATTCTCCTACAGATGGACTTTATTCATATAGCACAGTTTCTAACAAAACTTCCAGAAGATATTACATCAGAAAAGCTTTTTAGTTGTATTGCAGCTATTCAGATGCAGAATAGTAACAAGAAATGGGCACAGGTGAGTTTCTTGTATATCTATATCTATTTTTCTCTCTATAAAATCAGAGATGTCAGCACATGAATATATGGGGCACTTCTTTTGATGACTATTTTATGCTGCTCGTCTGACTTCTGAGCAATGGACACTTCCTTTCTAGTGTCTCATTCTAGAAATTAAGCTCCATGCTAATATTGTGGGGGTTAATATAGCTACTTTTTATAAGACTGGCTTTTTTTATATTCATTAAATAATTTACTTTGCCAGGTGTTTGCCTCACTGATGAAGGACAACAAAGAAGGAGACAAGAACCACAGCCCAGCACCGAAAAACTAATCCTTGTAACTAATCCTTGAAGTCAATTGAAAATGTGGAAAACCACTTGAAGACTAAAAGCTTTCACATCACTTCTATGTGGAAAAAAACCTATAGAAAATGTGAAAATGAGATGGAAAAATGACATAACTCTCAGTGGAGTAATGAACTGATGAAATCTTCACCTTTTGCCAGTATTAGTTTTTGTCGTGGGAAGATTTGTTTTCACACAGAATACTAAAACCTATAAAACTGAGAATCGAGGAGTTCATATTTAATACTTTAAAAGAATCAGCTCAATGCAATAAACATTTGTAATAACTTCTGTTGGTACTTAAAAAAAATTTTGAGGCATAACTTTTTTTACAAATACCACAAAGGCACTTTTTTGGGGGGATGAGGGAAATGCTAAATCTTAAAGCCCCAAAACTGCTATCCAAACCAAATGTTTTGGTACAAACATTACCTCCAAAATTACCAAGTTGAAAGTATTAAGGACCAAATAAGGTGGTTTGGTATGTTTATGTGCAAGATGGTTAAAATTTGGGAAAGGGTATTGTCTTATTGTGGTTGTGTTTTGTTTTCTTTGGGTTTTTTTAAGTTGCAGCTTCATTCTTCAGTCTGGGCAAATGTACTTAACTCAGGAACTGTAGAAGTATTGTGCCCAAACCTAGAGTAAAAATAATATGAATTTTAAACAGTGGTAAGAACAGGGCTGCTATTGTCAATGTACAGCTTTCAAAGTGAGTGGTGTTAAGCATTTGTTTCGATGTATTGGTTGTGGAGTAAATGGAGTGAGTATTCTGTGAAAGGGTTTTGCCACCAGAAGTTTTATTTTGTCGAGCCATTTCCAACTAACAAATACTTGTATGTAATGGTGAACACTAGATAATGACAAAGCTATCTGCGGACTTTGTGTTATCAAAGAAGCATCCGCTTTTAACACTTGGGAATAATGCAGACACAGATTTGTTTCTGAAACTCTTTTAGTAGTGTGCAATATTGAAGTCCAAAAGGTTTAGTGATACTGAATTCTTTAATTCTGTAACATCTTTTAACTGTGGGATGTAAGGTCATATTGTATGTATCACGGCAGTTACTTTCAAACGTTTCCTGTTCTCGAAGATGCTGTACAACAACCTGTGGTTGTAGGGGACAGAAATTTAATATGGATAGCACTGCAGGTAAGGAACACTTGCACTCTCTTCATCCATTTTTGCTAATATTTAATGTAAATAAATTCCTTACATGTGGGTTTTTTAACTGGTCCCTCTGGAAATCAAGTCAAAATTACCATTATGTATTTTTAAGTGCAGGAGGCTTCCAGTTGTCTGGTGTTTAAAAGCAGAGTCTGCATAATCGGGGTAAAGATTTAGTGTGGTGTAACTTACATTGCTTTCTGGTTTAAAAACTACGTATATGCTACTCATAACATTACGATTTGAAATGTAAATGTCAGATTTTTCTTAACTTATGTATTCACTACTTTAATTGGATCCAATTTGTCTTATATTTTTGTGTTATCTTGTACAGTTTTCTTACTTTTCAACTATAAATCTGTATATAACTGTAAATAGAAGGATCGAGCCTTCCTTTAAGACCACTAGTACCAACTCCTGTGTAAATAAAACTTATAGCAGATGTGCACTGTGTCTCTTTTCCATTCCCCTGGAATGTGCTCCAAGAGCTGGTGGCCGCGGTGTTGGTGCCTCACCGAGGAGCCGAGGGTAAGCTGGGGCCCAGTTCGAGCCCCTCCGGCCCGACAGGGCCTGTTTCGGTGCGCGGCACCGCCTGCGGCGTTAATTAAAATGTTCATTAATTGGGGCGGGTGTGGTCCCCGGCCCTCAGCGCCCCGCCGGCCTCCGCCGCCAGGGGCCGCTGTGGCGGCGGCGGGGCCGGGCCGGGAGCGCTTCCGCCGCCGGCAGCACGCGCGGGCCGCCGCCATGAAGCCGGTAGGGGCTGAGGGGACACCGGGGCCGGGCGGGACGGGGAGCGGAGACTGGAGGTCCCGCGGGCTTCACGTGGGGCTGGGCGGGATAGGGAGCCGTGCCCAGGAGCAGCCGGTGCCGCCGCGGCCCCGGCAGAGGAATGCGGGGGTGCCTAGGGCAGGTGTCGGCGGGGTCTCGGCAAAGCGCAGCCTCGTCCCGCGTCCCTCGGAGGTGATTTTGACGGAACCGAGGGACAGAAGGAGGTCGGAACAGCTGTTCGGGACAGGGGGGAGCGGGACAGCCCGCGGCGTGTCCCTGGGGCTGCGGGGGGCACCGGCAGGAGCCGAGCGGGGTCCGAGCTGCCCCCGGGCGGCGGCAGCGCCTGTGCCCGGCACAGGGACAGTGCCGGGACACCCCAGTGAAGGCTTCGATGCTCGGCTTCTCTCCACAGCCCTTGCCTTACCGTGCCGTCAGTAGGTAATCCCTGCTGCGTCCATTTCCACTCCGAGCACCCTTGGGTGTGTTTTGGTGTTTTGGCATAGGACGCCTCTGTTGTCCTGTGCCTCCGGGCTCTCCCTGAGCCCTGTTTCCCGACCACCGTGGCTCCCTGAGCTTTGGCACCTGCAACTCGTACATCTGCATCCTGGTGCTCTGAGCCTTGCAGGCAGCAAGGCAGCCTTGTCAGGTCCACGCAGCTGCTGATCAGGGAGAGTTTCAGGCTGGAGAAAGCCAGAGCTTAGCATGGGGAAGTGTGCTGCAGGAGAACATTTACCCGAGGCTGTGGCCTTGTACTTTAAAGTACTTACCGTGTGTTGGGGAACAACAGCATCCTGAAGAGAGAACAGAGTGCTTGGGAGCACACAAAGAACTGCACTCTATCAAACTGTTTACCATACTTTGAGTGTCCATGTGTCTAAAGTGATAGACATAGGGTTTAATAAAAAGGTTGTTAAACAATGTTTCTGTAGAACATTCATCACGGGTCTCTCTTCTCAAAAACGTAACACGGTTGTGTAAATTTGATAACTGATGATACTGTTTGGAAGAAACATGTTATTCAGCCCTAATAGAGAGAGGAACTTAATGAGATCTTGAACAGTGAAATAAATTTCACAAAGGCTGTGAATATGTCAGTGACTTGTCATTTTCTGTTTGTTTCCTAGAGAAGAAACAAAAAGCAAGTTCCAAGCTTTCGCAAGTTACTGAGAACTAGTCAAATAAAACTTGACAACAAATTAAAGAATAAACAGTACAAGCAGAAGAGTGCTGCTAAGAAGTATCGAAAAGAACAAAAGAAGCTAAGGGAGGCTGTCAGAGATGCTATTTCTAGAAAGCCTTTTCCATTGGAAGAATGCAAGAAAAAGCAAGTTGGTAAGTGTTTGCTTGGAGTTATTTCAGTTAGCAAGAAGGTATAAGTGTTGCTAAATATTCTGCTGCTTTATGTTGTGAAATTCAAGAAAACAACGTTCTCTGTGTACAAATAATTGCTGTTCTTGTTGAAAGAAGGGGAGAGTTGTGAAAAATATCAAATGTAGCTGTTATGGCATCAAGATCTGACAGTTGGAGATGGTAGAAATGTGTTTGCGCTGATCATTATTGGATGTCAGAGGGGCAATTTTCTGGGATAACACAAAAGACATGCATAAAGGTCAGTGAGCTCCAGGTTGAAATAAGGTGTAAAATGTTTTCACAAGTCTAGGCAAGGTTAGATTTTCAAGTTTGAATATATATACAGGATCTTAATCTGTAAACATCATCTTCTAAAATAGCTGGAAAATACAAAGAAGAGGAAGAAGATGCTCTTCCACTGGACATGATGGATGAAGATGACTTAAAATTAATAGAAGATTTGGCCCAAAAAGCATCCTTTTTAACCAGAGATCTTTCTTCTAAGTGAGTGTTGTTGTGATGTCTACTTTGTGTACTAATTCAGCCTTGTGCAATTAATTTGTAATGCAATACATCTATCGGGAGGTCCCTTTTAGCCTGGTGTTTCTTTGCAGTTCCAGTTTAGTGTTTCCTTAGTCTGTCAGTACATTCAGTATTAATGTATTGGCATCTATCAGTACATTCACCTGCTCTGCCTGACCTTCAGGATACTGTTTCTGCAGTGATCCTGCCCGTGAGGTCCCTGGCTGTGAGATGAGAAGCATTTCTCAAACTGAAAGAAATGCTTTAATCTGTAAACAGTCTTTTTTTCTGTATAGAGTATGCAGGACATTCCCTGGACTTTGGGCATTTATACATATTGCATTGCAAATTGCTGGGGGAAAAAAAAGGGTTCTGGAATTCATGTCTGTAAACACACAACACCAAAACATTCATATAAAAGGTTTGTAACCAGTTTTCTGGAGCAAGGTGTTGGGTAGAGTTCACAGTGAAGTATGGAGCAGGACAGTGCTCCTAGTGTTAAAATTGTAAGTCTTTACAAATACCCTTCTACAGAATTCTCTGGTTACATGATTCTTTGAAAATCTTAACTTGCCTTTTTTGATGAATGTGAAAACGAGTGTATACCTAGCTGCTCTAGGGTGGTTTTAATTTGTTAATGCTGATTAATATCAGTATCAGTTACTAATCATCTGTCACAGTACTGATTAACATCAGTAATCAGTTACTAATTAATAATTTAGTATAGTTTTGAAGGAAAGTAGTAAATGGCTTTTCATTTCCATAGTTGCAGTTGTGCTGTACTCTACTGCAGGGTTTCTTGTAGCCACATAGCAAATTCTTCAATTAAAAGAATTTTATTTTAAACCTTCCCCTCTCCCCAAGCTAACTGGGTGTGGCATAAGTTTAAAGTCTTGCAAAACTCAAAATTTATTGTGTGTTTTTATTTAATGACATTTTGCAAGATGTAGGTCTATGTGTTTTACATTCATTATGCCAAAACATTTTTAGAATGGTGGAAAAACAGTGGAAGTAGTTGCCTTTTTACCTGTTTTACTAGATTTTACCTCCTTTCATAGTGTTCCCTTAAACTGGAGAACTTTTCAATTTTCTTTACTCTGGTCGACTGTAATAGTTCTTAAAAACTTGTCAAATATTACATCACTTATAAATTACATGTTCATATTAGCACAGACTAGATACTTATGTTCTTATATACTAAAGTGTAGTTTAGGAACATACCTGCAAAAGGGTGGTACACCACAGTGCATTATTGCTGTTGTCCCTGGAGAGTGGGGTGTGACATAGGCTTTCCCAGTAAGCACAGTAGAAAAGTGATAGGAGTAGTGGTGAAAGTAAACATGGAGTAGGGTAAATAAAAATGTTCACTGACCCACTCAGTATCACATCCTTGTTTAGACTCACAGTAAGGGAGAGAGAGGCTGTGGGACATCTTAAGGAAGACGCTGGACTGTTTGTCCAGTGAGAGAATCCTAGTCCTGCTTGCTTGCTGGTGGAGTCCTTCATGGCAGGACTGCTGGGGGTTAAGAGTTTAATCAGCCTGAACCGTGTCAGGGCAGCCCCTCATGCTATGGGGGAGCACAGGGAGGGAGGAAGGGCAAGTAAAACAGCACCTTGGCCTAGGTGAGGGGCAGACGCTTAATCCAATTAGTTACTGCTAGTGATACACTGTCATACATGGTTCTTGTCTAATTAGGTGGCTGATACATTTAGTTTGCCTTGTGTTTTTCAGTGAACCTGTTCATGTCAAAAAACGAAAACATGAAAGTGTGATTGAGAAATATGAGAAGGTGCCAAGACGAATGCAGACAGAACCAGAAAAGGAACTCATCCATCTGCTCCCCATCAAAGACAAGAGTGGCATTATTCCTCAAGCTGTGGAAAAGCCAGGTAAGACACAGATTCCAGAATTGGCATAGTAGCCAAAAAGTGTATAATTTATTTTTTAAAGTTTCACAGTATTACATGCTTGACACTAGGCATTTTATTTTTGCAGTTCTCAATGTTGCACATGATGAAGAAGAGGGTACAGAAGAAATGGAGGAAGGAGAGGGTAATAAAACATTATGTTTGCTTTGTGTTGGGTTTTTTTGTGTTTTTTTTTTTTCTAAATCACTGTCATATCTGAAGAGTACTTTGCTGTTCCCTAAGGAAGTTTGTAATTGAAGTGTATTTTGTTCAGATTTTTTGGATATGTTCACTACCATGTTGCCATGAAAGCATAACAGTTATTCAAAGCTTGCTTTCTTACCTGTTAGATTCTCAGGACCTGAGGAATAGCTGGCTTCAGAATCTCTTTCTTTAAAATTATTTTGATTTTTTATCTGGAACTGATGTGTTCATGAAGTTCCTTTTATCAGTTATGCTACCTTTGCTAGTAAGAAGGATCACATTGGTCTTACATAAAGAATATATGCTGTGGTTCTGTTGATTACTCTGAGATCATTTTGAAATGCAGTTCAGGACACAGGCTTGTGTAGGCTTTTGAGTGTCTGTCTTTGTCTTTGAAATTTTTTACTTAGAACATCAGAATACCAGGAAATTGAGATTTTGATTTGCTGTTGGTTATCCAGTTAGGAGTCATTTTCAAATAACAGTTGCAGTTGTAACTTTGCCACTTCTGGGTCATTATTGTCTAAATATAATCTGAAGTTGAGGAAGGACATAACAAAGTAATACTCAGAAAACACAAACAAAACAATTGTATTTTTAAAAGAAAAAGTGAATGTTGAATAATTTGCTGCAAATTGAGAGCACTGTGGTTTCTTGGCACAGTTGGGGTAATATGTTGAGTTTCCATGTTCCCACTGTACTTCGGGAACACTGTGGACAGATTCAAAAACATTTAGTCTGCTTCTTTTTGCAAGCAAAAGATTTTGAAGTGGAGCAAAAATTAATCTCTGGGTTAATATAAGCACTAGCAAAGTCATTTTTAAAGCTTCTTTGACTGCGGAACTTCATGTGTAACTCGTGTGG